TTCGGCGTCTTTCCGGACAACTTCGTCGTTTCTGTTCCGGCGGAGGAGGTAAGAATTGTGTTTGTAATGTCGCGTATGTGCATAATTTGATTGTCATTGTTAGGTTGAAAAGAAAATGACCCACTACTTTCCTCCGCTGGTGCCGGCCAAACCGCTGAAACCTTCATCGAGTGCTCAGGGACAGGTGGCGGCTACACCGGTGGATACGGCAAAGTTCCTCAAGAGTCCCGTTTTGCAGGAAAGTGGCGGCGGTGCGAATGCAGCCGGGCGGCCTTCTTCGTCATCTAAGCAGGCGACTACAGCTGCGATGACGACCAGCACTGCTTCGGGTTCTGTCGATAAGAAAGGTGGTGTTCTTGCCCTTTTTGTTGTAATTGTTTTCAATGTTAAATTTCTTGTTTATTTTTTGTTGCCATCTTTGTAACCAAACAGAACTTAACAGGCAGCAGAATTCGTTAGATTAATGATTTCCGGCTTGACTCAAACGGTATTTGAGATTTATGCTAGCCGTTAGCAGTTCCCGTTACAGTGCTCCATTTCACAATCAGACCTAAGAGTGATAAGTGTCTTCCAAAGGAAGCTTGTAGCGGATTTGGGCGATGGTTATGAATTGCTGTCTAAATTAAATGTTTATTACATTTTTTCCTCATTATTTAGACACGGCCAACCCATTGCTTCCGGAATGACTTTGATCTCAAACCACCTATAGGATTAAATCAGTTAAATTTAAGGTGGTTACTTCCCCTCCAGTTTCGCGGATATAAAGCCTGTATTGATACTGAAATCATGACTTGAAATGCTCTAATGGTGCTAAAGTTGTCTCGAAATTGCAAGTGTGAATAAAGTAAACTGGGATACGAACTGCCCAGAACAAAAAGTGATGACTCCAGGCGTTCAGAGATGAAAGGGTTTGTTAACAAGTCTTATGGCGTAATTAAGGTAGTTATGCCGCGCAAATCTATTAGGTCTCATCCTCTCTGTTCATCTCGTTGAGATTCCGTTATTACAAGTCCTAACGTTGGTCAGACATGCAGAGGTATTAACTGACAGGAAGAAACCTAAGCGATTTACTTTCCATGGTTACATTTATTGCGCCGTAAGAATCTGAACACTTCTTCTACCATTATTTTTGTACTTTCGGTTCCTACTCCACTAAAGTTTATCAATACTTGCAGACTTAAACTTGTTTGACAAATAGAATATTCGAAATCTCTTTTGGGTACCCGAACAGTTTCTGTAGGCAGTATTTTTTGAGATTTCCAAGCTACAAAATTGTGTTGTTTTTATATAAAATATGAGATCAGAGTTAACGTTTATGAATGAGTGGTGAAACATCTAGAACTAGATGTTGAGAATGATGGTAAAATAGGGTTGGTAAGTTGTTAAGATGTCGATTTCAGACATGATGTTGGACGGATGAATGGTTTGTTGAGAGATTAGGCTTGATTTAGTGTTTAGAGCATAAGCTTCACCGGACTCACGTTAACGTACTGTTTTCTTGGCGCGGATCTCACATGCACTGCGCTGTTGGTGTTTATTTCAATTCGAGTATATGTCCGTGCAACTGTGGATACCATGGCACTAACTCAAGGAAACAGACTTGCTGATTACAATGATTTTGAGCAGTTCAGATGAACGATAGTCTGTGTATTTGTCCCCTGTCGTATCTGCAATGCGTAGGTGGTTTCTGAGATAAGGATTCATTCATTTTCGTAGGCGGCTGTTCCTTGCTGATTAGGAGTACAGTGTTCCCGGCCTCCGCTTCACTGATTGAATTTCAAGACCCAACTCGAATTTGATATACTGAAGTCATGTAGAATTGACCTTGTCTGGCCTTTTGCATCGCGAACAAAAGGAACGGATACGTCAAATTATCCCGAACACTTCACAAACAATTATAAAAATGCTCTCGATTTGGAAAAGGAACGATTCACAAACGGAATATCACGGACTGCCTTGTTTCGAAACTCGTCCAGTCTGGTCATGCCAGTAATCCTGTGAAGTAACGTTATTTCCGTCGCTTGTATGCGTGCCGCATCATTTTGGTCAGTGCCCAGCATTCGTGGCTGTCGATGAGGATAGGTACGTTGTTATACTTCAAGAAATAGCGCTGGATTACTGCCCGTTTTTCCTTCATCACTGCTTCTGCAGAACGGCTTAGCTTTCGGACTCCTGTCTGCGCTTGATCGATTAACCGGTTTTCGTTCAGGCCCTTCCTGCTGAGGCTGTCCTGAGATCCTTAAACTTCTTTTCGCCTCAGTTGTCTGCTGAACATTTTTAGCAGTTTTTTCTCGAGAATGCCAAAGTCTCAGTTTTGTTGAGGCTAGTCTTCAGGAAAATGTTTCAACAGCAAGTCTTCATTCTGTTTTTTTATAGTTTTCTTAAATCGAACTATGCCAGTGGTCTCCTCAGATTCTTGTGCACTTCGGCCAGTGGTATCTGCTGTTCGTTTCGCGGGTGTGCCACTAAGACATGGTGTTTAGGGCATAAGGTTTCTCAAGCCTAAAAATAAGTCGATCGAGGAAATGAGTTTATTTCCTACTGTTCATCGTCTATTGCGATATTATTGTCACACCTTTGCTTATTTTGTGAAAGTACTCAAAATTTTACCGTGACACTGTAGGGATCAGAATCATCACTTTAATTGGGATGGATTCTAGGTACATGAAATGATTCCCTTTCACAGAATTTGTTATCCGGAATTTGCCCTAACTTTCTGGCAAATGTCGATTAATCTACAGTCATATAACCCAAATGAATGTTTTAGAGTAGTAATATGAATAAGAATATGGTTATTCATTAAAAAATAATGATGTTTACTTGAAGGAGTCAGTATTTGAATTTCGAAAAATAAATTCTAACGCCGGGAATATGTTAATAAACACTACACTGCATCAACTCTTTTGATGTAGTTTCGAAAGCATATATGAAGCGTCGATTTCTGAAAATCATTCATTCATCTTCCATAGCCCCTTCTTGCGGATCGCGTAGATAGACGCGTCAGCCAGTGCTTTCAACGTTCCTGATCCTGTGCCAGTGTCTGATCTTCGGCAGAAGACAACTAGAGTCTGGAACAGACTCCTTCCATATATTTGCAGCAGGTTCATCTTGGCCGCCCCCTGGGCCTTCTGTCGGTCGGTTTGGCAAGAAACAGTTGCTTAGCCTAACGTTCTGGAGCCATTCGCAATTCATGCCCAAACCATTGCAGCTGTGACTTCTCAATTTGTAGAAGCAGAGGCTGTATGCGAAGGCTCTCCCGGATGTGAGTATTCCGGACCATGTCGAGACGCGTAAGGCCAGCGCCTCGTCTAAGAAAGCCTATTTCAGCAGCCTGTACCCGGGCTCGAAACTTTTCGCTCATGGTCCACGACTCGTGATCGTAGGTAAGCATGGGGATAAAGATTGACTTAAATTCCGAGAGCTTAGTTTTCAGACTGAACTCTGCTTTAGTCACAATGGATTGGACTACTTCACGCAGAACGCCACTCGTTACTCCAGTTCACCGGTCGATCTCTTCCTCAAATTTTCCATCACTAGTAAATGCGACTCCGAGGTGCTTGAACTTCTCCACCTGCTCCACTGCATTTCCGTTAACTTGAAGAGAGAACGAGAAAGTACTTGACTTTTCGTTTTAGACCATTCACCGCTTGCCGGTCACGTCGCATTCGACTGCGAACCTTTCTAGGGAGCACTGTAGATCAGTTTCAGAAGATGCCAATAACACAAGACCGTCTACAAACAGAAACATTCTCATCTTCACATCTTCTGCACTGATACACTCATCGACTTGGCTGCTCCTGACCATTCTGTCCATGTATAACACAAGCAGGAGAGGGGATAGGACGCAGCCTTGGCGAAGACCAGTGCCAACGTTGAAAGGTTTGTGCTTAACGCCATTTACTCTGCCGCAGCACCTGCTATCACAATACAGTGACTGAATGGCCCTTAGCAGCTGGCTATCTATCCCGTATGGTAGCAGGCATTACTACAGCCTGTTGCGCGAGATCCAGTCATAGGCTTTTTCTAGGATAACAAAGCTCATGTACACAGGAGGGGCGAATTCCCACGAATTCTCAACAATTTGGCGCAGGGCAAATATATAATCAGAGGTGCTGCGACCGGATCGGAAGCCACACTGCTCTTCTTGTATCTTGGAGTCAGTTATTCCGCGGAGCCTCTTTTCTAGCGCTTTTGCGTAGACTTAACTTCCCAGGCTCAGTAACGTAATGCCCCTATAGTTGGAGCACTCCTTGTAGTCCCCGTTCTTGAATAGGGCTACAACATCTCCGGTTCTCCGGTCCGCTGGTATCTTCCCCGTATTCATCGCAGTTTGACAGACACGCGTAAGTTAGCTCATGCCTTTTTCGCCTAATGCCTTAAGCATTTCCGGGCGGATTTCATCAATTCCAGCAGCCTTTCCATTTTTCACAGCTTGTGTAATTTCATTTACAGAGATAGTAATACCCGTTACCTCTGCCCTGCAGGAGAGTCTTCCTGCGGTTGCTCGGGATTAAGAAGTTCCTCAATATACTCTCTCCATTGCTGAGGAATGTCATCATCCTTGGTAAGAGGGTGTCCAGATCTGTCTTTTAAGACTCTTAGATTGCCTTTCTTTTCACCTCGGAGTTGGCAGATGGTCTGCCGGAAAAATCATTATCAGTTAGCGTGATTTTGCTTTAGCCAGTAAAATCTGAGAAACGGATGCATCGAGGCAGTGCAAGTGCTCAAGTCCATTGGTGCCGTTGCAGAACGTAGAGATTTTTAACCGCTTAGGAGCAAAGAACGGTTATGTGACATCTTTTGAACGAGTTGAACGGAAATGCGCTTACCCTTAAAACTACTCATAACTACGGACGAGGAATACTAAAATGCAAGTTTTTGCTCTCGGAGTATCGATCTCCCCTAAAATTCCAGAATTTGGAATGTTTTTCTTTCGTTGACCTTACGCCGCACCGCCTTTCCCAGTCATGATGCCATCAGCCAGTGGTGGCATTCCTGAAGGTAAAATTTACAACTATATGCTGCCATTTCTGCTTCAGTTTAATCTCTTAAAGTGTCTTAGGAAGAACACTGTTTTCCTCACGTACTAAGCAGTATATCTGTATGAAGCAGGATTACATAAAGAAAGGAAATGATGGCCATTTTCGTACTATCCACCGTCTGTTCCATAAATCCTGTTTTTCTTTTCCGTAATCCTTAAGGAGTCTTACCATGAATCATATTTTCTGTGCGTTTCGATTCATCTGAATAAGATATGCATTGGCTTGATTTGCGTTGTAGCTGACGAACTCCGC